TGGGCCCCAGCCCCAGGGGGGCGCTGGTGCTGCCACAGGGACCCCCGCCCAGGGTTGCCTGCCCAAGCCCCAGCAGTCTGCACTTGGGGTCTGCTGTGTCCAGGAGAAGCCCGGAATGCTGGCTGCTCCCCACCAGCGACTGTGGGCCTTGACCTGCACAGGGGGAGCCCACACACCCACTGTCTCCAGGGAGGCTGGGCTGGGCTCCGCCTCCCACCACCAGCCCCTGCTGGCCAGCGGTCAGGCATCTCCTGACTGAGCTGCAGGGTAATTTCGGGAAACTGCAGTGATGGCAGCAGAATGTGTGAGCAACCGTCCCTCCTGAGGTGGTTCCCTCCCCAGGGGTAGCCCTGGGTACAGCCAGGCTGGGAGCAGAGGGCACCCTGGCTGGGCTCCCAGCCTTCTGGTGGGCTGGGGAAGCCTGGCCTCCCTCCTCCCCACCCCAGCTTGCTCAGCCCCTCCCCATTCCCAGCCCATCCGAGGGCCCCACAACACACAGAGGCACCAGGGATGCTGAAGCTCTTTATGAGGAGCCAGGAGAGGGGGTGGAGGGTGGGAGGGGGCAGAGGGCGAGGAGGGGGCGGCTGGCCCCAGGCCCGGGGATTCCTTCCACGTCCTGCTGAACAGTGCTCCTGCCCTGGGAAGGAGGGTTTCAGCGAGGCCGAGGCGGAAGGGCAGTGGGCACTTGCAGGCCTCTCAGGGCTGCAGCACAGGGCTGCAGCAGGTCCCAGCTCCCACCAGGAGCATGTGCAGTGGGGACAGACCCCCGCCCATTGCTCCCACATTACACAAAGAGCAAACCCAACACCCAGAGAGTCTCTGCTGTCCTGGGAATGATGCCCAGGGACAGACCTCCTGCGTGAGGATGAGCCGTGCCGGGGTCGCAGAGCAGGCCCCACCTGGCCCACTCGGGGTCCCTCCTGCCTGCAGTTGGGGGTGCCCCCATGGCTCCTGACCTCCCATCCAGCATGCTTGTTTGCTTCAAACTCACCCTAATCACTTTCAGGAATGCAGTTTTCTGTGGAAACCAAGCAAACCCAGGCATGAGATGATACCCTGGACAGGGGCCCCGAGCTAGCCACTGCCCGCAGCTCGGACTTGGGTGCCTGAGACCCAGAGTCCAGCCCAAGGCCTCCTTGGGACACATCACTTATGATGTCACCCCACGGAGGGAACAGTAGGGAAGGGATGTGAGGGTCACGGGGGATGCACAGGGACACAAGGGGCCCAGTGGGATATGAGGGCCTAGCGGGGACACCAGGGCACAGGAAACCAGAAGGACACAGGGTGGATACGGGGCCACAGACAGAGCTGCATCTCACCCATCTGGAGCGGCAGGAAGATACTCTCCTGCGGCAGCCCCTGGCGCTGCGTGAATTTCTTAAATTCTTCCAGGGCTTCCAGGCTCAGGTCAGGTTTTTTACCTGCAGGTGAGGAGGTGTCCGGGTCTCAGGTGAGCCTGAGGTCTCAGGAAACAGATCTGGATAGAGAGGGCCCCTCCCAACATTTGGGGGGCTTCACCCAGGACCTACCCAGGCTGGGAGAGGAGGGCTCAGCCTGCAAGTGGACGCAGAGCGGGTGTGGAGGAGACAGGCCACCTCCCCGGGAAGGGAGGATAGCCATGGGGACAGCACGAGTCACTGACGGCCCCTGAGGTACCCAGGCCTGCCCCCAAAGCTAAGCTGCAGGATCACACCCCTGACCAGGAAGGACCTCGCAGCTGAGAGGAACCGTGCTGCCTTATGGCCAGAGGGTTCTTGGACTTGACCGCGCTCTGGAGGGTCACTGTCCCGAGGAGGCCTCTATCAGCAACACATCCTGCCCCTACAGGACCTGGCTGCACGCCTGAGACCCCAGGAAGTGGCATGCTGCAGCTGCACAGGCCAGAATTCCCCCTGTGAGTGGTCAAGACCCGAGGGAGCTCAGACTGGCTGCCCTGAGCAGCAAACCACGCCAGGCACACAGAGACCAGCACAGGGCCTTCCTGTTCTGGAACCAGGGCAGGGATTCCGCCAGTTCCCCGAGCTTCAGGGAGCAGCGACTGTGGGGCTGGGTTTGGAGATGCTCCAAGGGCCCAGGGGGGCCACCCCTACCCATGAGCTTTCCCACGTGGAACAAGCCCTTGCAGTAGAAGATGTAGTGGTCCTCAACGGACAGCTCCAGGAGATACACATTCATCTTGCCCCCACCTGTGGACAGACGGAGAGAATGTGGGTCTTCAGCACCTCTGTTCCTGGAGGAAATATTTGAGACCAGCTGAAGGACACTCTGGAACAGGTTGGCTTCTCCATCACCCTGGCTGCGGTGAGCCCCCATCATTCAGGGGCCCTGGCCGGGCCTTTGCGCAGGACAGCCTGCTCCTAGCCGTGGGCCCTGACACTGGGAAGAGAGCCCCTCCTGGGGAAGGTCACCACCCAAGCCGTGAGTCACACAGGCTAGAGGAAGTCAGAGGCCGGGACCCGGCACTCCCATGGTGCCCTGCCTCGGTTCCCCGCAGGGTGAAGAGCTAGACACGCAGAGGGCAGGGCTGCTCCTGTCACCCCTGCTGCATCTGGTGTCTGACATCAGGACAATGAGGCCCTGTGGGAGGGAGAGCTTGGTGTCTCCTGGAGAGAACCAGGGAGGGTCCAGACAGCCAGGCCACCAAGCGGAGGGTCCTGGCCAGACTCACAGGTGCTGAATTTGCCGGGCTCTGCCATTTGCTGCAGGACGATCCTCTTCTCGTGGCACTGGTCCGCCTTCCTGGGGACAGGAGGTAGCCCCAGTTTCAGGACACACACCTGTGCCCATGCCCCTCTGAGCTCACCTGGCACATCGACATCTGACCTGGTGTCCCCACAAGTCCCACTGTTAGCCCGCAGCCAAGGACTCTTTCCTTCCAGGTCAGGGACACATTCATTTGACCAACTGAGATGGGAAGAGGCACTATGAAGGGCTGCCCCCGCGTCACCCTGCAGCCCAGCTGGGGAGGAGGCAGGAGGCGGCACCCCAGGCGGGAGACACTCACATGAAGGTGAAGGAGACCTCCAAGTCCCCACCATCCAGGGCTGTCATTGTCACTGGGGACACCTTGTCGGGCCTCTTCTCCATAGGTATGGGCTTGTTGGTCACCATGGCCTTCACATACCATGTTCCTGTGAACTGAGCAGGGCCTGGGCGTGAGCCCAGGGTGGCAGGGCCCAGATTCGCCTCCTCGGCCACCTGTTGCCCCAGTACCCAGGCTGCAGCCCCTCAAAGGCAGGCTGGGTTCCCACACACCTGCTCCCCAGGGCTTAGTTAGAACCAGCCCAGCCCCCAGGGCTCCCAGCCCCAGCAGAGGCAGGGCGTGTCTGCCACCCCACGACCCCATCTCTGTTGGTGCCAGACTCCTCACTCCAGAGGGCCCTGGAGTGCTGTCGGGGTCTTCAGGGCACCAGTTCATCTGTCCCTGAGCCGAGCCTGCTCCCCGAGGACAGAGCGCCTCAGGGAGGCACCGCCACTCACCCTAACCACTCCGTGCCCTTGAACGGCCCCTCCGGTGACAGCAACCCTGGCCACCGCCCAGCTGCAGGCAAACCCCGCCCCCTCCTCTCTGCAGGCTCACATCCTGCGTCTCTGGGTGGGTGGACAGGGGCTCCTGGGCCTGCAGGGCAGCAAACAGGCCGAGTGTGATGGTCAGGACCAGGGCCTTCATCTCAGGGCGCTGTGCTCGGGGCCGCTGCGGGTCACGGGGGTTCTGGGTGAAGCTGTGCCGGCTCCTCACGGGGCTGCCCTTTATGCCCGGCTGTGGTGCACCCCACCCCTTGAGCACTTGGCACAGACCACACCCTCCCCTGAGTGTCCCTGCCAACTCCACATCTGGGAAGGTGGTGGGTCTGGTGAGTGACAGACGAGTATATGGTGCCAAAGAATAAAAGACCAAACTCCCTCTGGACAAGCACATCGTCAGAATGGGTGAGTGGGCACCCACGTCCCCTCCCCTTCCCTTCCCGGGAGCCCAGGGCTGGGGTGCCCAGCAAGTCCTCTGGGAACCGGCCAGCTTGCCAGTGGGGAGACAGGGCCTGGGCTTCAGGGTGCTTTGAATGTGTCCCCGGAGCCCGAGCTCTCAGCTGCCCTGGTGGCCCTGCCAATGCCTGTCCTGGGGACACTCACCCAGACCTCCCTGGGGCGGGGCACGAGCCTGTGGCTCGGAATCAGTTTAAGCATTGCCCCCTCAGAAGGGCCCCCCAGGCCCCAGGAGGGATCCAGGTGGCTCCCTGCCCTGTCACTGGGGATGCCCTGGCCAGGCTGCTTCCAGCTGGGATGAATTACTCTCCGGTTTGGCCGCCTCACTTCCTCACAGGCAAGTCTCCTGCCGTCTTCCCTGAGAATGGGAGCCCCCCGGCAGAGGGGCTGACCACTGGGGTTCACAGATTCCTCGCTGTGCTGGGGTGGGCGGTGGGGAAGAGGTCCTGCTGCACCATAGGGGCCATCAGGTTCATGGGAGGGACCACCCGCCATTGGGCTCCTGGAGCCTCAGTGGAGCCCCCCCTCCAGCGTCCATCCCTGTGGGTCATCGTGAGGTCCTGGGGAGGCCATGCAAAGGCCCTGCCACGTGCACCCCTCCCACCCCCTGCTCCTTGGTACCTGCCGGGCTGGGAGGGTGGGCTCTCCCCTCCTTTGCCTGGAGAGGGACCAGGGGACCAGGTTCTATCGGACCCGCACAGCAGCTCCCTCAGCTCTGCTTCTTCTAGAACCCCAGTGTGCCTCCACCACTCTCATCAGCTCCGACCCCTGTGTCCCCCAAGACAGGCCACATGCCTCATTCCCTTTGGATTAATGGCTGAGTCACGGGGGACAAAGAGGCCACGAACTCATGGCTGAGCTCCACGGCACACACTCTGCTGGCCTCAGCCCCGGTTGCTTCCAGAGCAAGAACGTGGCCTTCCCCTTGCCTGACCTCTAGTTCCTGGGCCTGAATTATCCCTGAGACCCACAGTGGACCCTGACCCCGTGAGCAGGTAACAGACACCAAGGGCTTGGCGCCTCTGCCTTCACACTGCATTTGTCCCCTGTGCTGCCAGAACCTTTGGGCCAAAAGGAGAAAAAGGGAAGGGTTTCTGCTCTGCCGGCAGCCTTGCCCGCAGACTTGAGCCTCATCGGGAGGAGTTTGCTCACAGTCTGAGATCGCTGTGTGTGGCCGTGAACCGAAGCCCACTTCCTCCCGGACACAGAGAAGTATGCGTGGGAATGACTGCCCAGTCAAAGGGTTTATGAGCATTGTGAAGAGACCTAGGTCGGCAAGAGTCAACTACCCCAGGACACAGAGTCCCTCAGCTCTCCTCAGACCCTCGCAGGTGCTCAGATGTCTGCACCCGTCACTCACCCCCTGCTCCCTCTTTCCCATAAAAGAAGCTTGCAGTCAACCCTGAGTTAATATGGGGCTTCAGGGCATGAGTCTGCCACCATCTCCGTCTGCTGGCTTCCCGAATTAAGTTGCTTTCCATGCCCCAACCCCTTGTCTCTTGACTTACTGGCATGTCGTGGGGAGGGTGGCGACCTTGGACTGGCTAACAAGCAGATGCTGGGGCCACACAAGGGAGGCTTTGTGTCTCCCTGGCCCAGGTGGACACCACTGTAGATAAGCACCCCACATACTTGCTATTTAATAGTCATTTGCACTCTCTGCTAACCCCTGGGGGCCGAACTGATGGTACTGGTTTGATCCACTCATTAACTCCCAGCTTAGAAGGTGCTGCTGAGGAGAAAACCTGCCCCCCCCCCGGACTGCACAGGGCAGGGCCAGTGCACTTGAGGACCAGAGATCAGTAAATGTGCTGGAGTCTCTTTATCAGTGGGCAGTTTTTCCTTGTTCTTGTTGGCTCCGCCCCCAGAGACCTTGAATTTCCCTTATTATATGGGAGTCACTGATCTAAGCATCTCACAACATTGACAAACTCAATTCAGTCCTTGAGCAAAATGGAGGAAAAACCCATGGGGATCACTGAGGGAACAGGGCTGTGTCCACTAGCGCATGCTCAGCACGACTAGAGTGCCCATCACCACCCCGTCTTGCCTGTGCCCAGTCGACTGAACCCTACAGAGTTCCCCAAACATGCTGTTTTTTTCGCTACTGGATGGGCTCAGCCGGCGGTGGACACACTGAGCCCCCGTGTGCGGGGGTGGGGGCCCCACGGCCTGAGGCCTTTCTCCACATGGCTGGGTGATGCCCTCAGACCCTTGGCACCAAGACACTGCCCCCACCGCACAGCTCTGCCTCTCACCACTTCTGGTGACATCCCTGCCTGCCCTATGTGAATTCAGGGGGGCCAGAGCTCCTCAGGGCGGCTGCCTCCCAGGGGCCCCCCTGCAGTGGGGGGGATAAGAAGCGTTAAGGGTGCACTGGCTGGGCGGAGGGGCATGTAGAAGGGCAGGTGAGGAGGCAAGACAGGTACGATGGAGGCCTAAGAATAACTGGGCAGAGGGGACTGTAGCTGGTCTCACTAACCATCTATTCTCATTAGTTTAGAGACTGTGCTGAGCTACCACCCTGGAGCCTCAGGGTTAGAATTTGCCAGAATGGATTCAGTCTGGATCAAGAGTGCATCGGTGCAGTGCTGGGGGGCACCCACCCCCACAGCCCACCAGCAGCTGGAGCAGAGAGCTTCTGCACACTGGCAGGGCTGTGGGGTACCCCCTCTGGTGTCTGCATCCTGTCTTCTGCACTTCCCACGACACACGTGGCTGAGACCCACTGTGCAGGTGAATCAGCACACACCACCAACAGGGATGATTACTGAAGGGCTGGTGTCTTGGACTCTTTGTTCCCCAGGGGCACAATCTGAGGTGGTTCCACCTATTTCTCAGAGGGTCTTTGGGAAGACTGAGTCCCAGTTGCCTAGTGGTGACCTTCCCATTACCATACAGTTTATTGGATTTTCTACCTTCCGCCTCTCACATGATTTCAGACTCCTGGCGTCTAGAACTGTGAGAGAATGAATTTCTGTGTCTTAGGCCATTCAGTTTGTGGCACTTTGTCACAGCAGACATAGGAAATCAATACAAGCCCTAAATATTACTAATTATGTCAAACATAAAGGGACTAAATATACAAGTTTGGAGATAGGGATTTGCAAAATGGATTAAAGACCATGATGCAACTATACGTTGTCTTCAGAAAACATAACTTCAAATATAATGAGAGAGGCAAGTTGGAAGTAAAAGCATGGAAAAAATAAAATGCACAAAATAAATAAGTGAATTTCAGTGCTAGCTATCAATGGATTGCCTCCGTAAGACAATAGCGATGAACTGCCCATCGCTGCCTGTCCCGCAGTAAAGGAGCTAGCCCCAGAAGGCATTTCTCTTTTGCACCTGGCATAAGTTAAGCTTTGTTAGTAGAAAGCTCAGGATGAAGGGGCTTCTTTCCTGGTTCCAGGGTGCTTCCACTTCTTTATTTTTCTTTCTTCTACTGCATGACTATTGCAGCACAAATAGGGGATCTCCACAGGTACTCATCCTCACTGGATTCAGTGGACCCCCACGGATGGCTTCCTAGGGACATTTAGTGGCACCCCTACAAGTGGATTCCCAGTGAATCCTGTAGGCTTCTCAGCCTCAGCCCACCTGAACCTGGGAGAGGGAGAGCTTTCCTGCTTGCCAGTCTCAGCCTGCATTACCCCACCTGCTGGCGTCCACGCTGATCATGGACTAGCTCTGGTCCTGGGAAATGCAGCCCCATCTCCTGGGCTGCAGCACTTCCTCCAACAAGGTCTGAACCCCAACCTTGGGGAAAGATTCCCCTCCCAAATTTCTTTCTTCCTCAGCTACTGTATTATAATCCCAGGCTGTTCTTCATAGCTGTTCTCACCTGTATAGTCAATTGTTCATTATATAGACTACACCTGTTCAATCTGTTGTTTGGTTCCTGTATCCTGATTGAAGGCTGACTCATGTAATGATATATTATTTTAAAAAGTGATAAGTGCTAAGGGGAAAAGTCAAAGTGGAACAAGTTGAATAGGGAGTGTTGGCACAGAGGGTCATCTTGCATTTTAAATGGCATGGCCTGAGACAGCCTCACCAAGGTGACATTCGAACACAGAATTAAGGGTAATGAAGGAAATGAGCCATGAAGTCATTGGATAGAAGAGGCTTCCAGGTGGAAGGAACATCTGGTGCAAGTCTTCAAGTGGGACAATGTCTGGCATGTTCCAGGAACATAGTGGGGGGTGGAGAGCCTGGAGCAAATGGTACAGGGAAAGACTGGGCAAAAACAGGTCGGAGAGGGGTGAGGCTGACTGCAAGCCACCATAAGGACTTTTAACTTTTGCTCTGGGTGAAATGGTGAGCCACTAAGAGATTTTACAAAGTCAGGCTTTGACTTACAGTGTTAAAGGGTCACTCCAGTTGCTACATGGAGGATAGATTTTGGGAGGCACATACAGAGGCCGAGAAACCAGCTTGAAGGATACTGCAATAATCAAGGCTAGAACAATGGTAGATGAGGTCTACCCAGCCATCATGGAGTGACAGGTTATGAATTACATACCCACCGCAAGTGAGAAAACAGGTCAAAATATGTGAAATGAAGGTTTTGCTAATGACCAGTCTGCATATGCAGTGGGTGAAACTCCACAAAGCCAGAAAAAAACAACGTTTGAGTAAAGAACAAATCCAAGGAACTGTCAGTCAAACCACACCCCACAAACACAGGTTGAAGAATTAGTTGAGATGCCAAGACAATGGGGAAAGAATAGTCTTTTCAATAAGTAGTGCAGGGATAACTGGACATTCACAGGCAAAGGAATGAAGTGGAACCCTGACCTCACACCATATATAAAAATTAAATAAAAATGGATCAGAGATGTCACTGTAAGACCTAAAACTATAAAACTCCTAGAAGAAAACAGGACTAAATCTCCATGGCCTTGTTAGGCAATGCCACCCAAAGGGCAAGTAACCAAAGTGAAAATAGATCAGGTGAACTTCCTCAAAATTCAAACTTTTGGGCATCAAAGGGTGTTATCAAGGTTATCAAGAAAGTGAAAAGCCAAGCCACAGAAAGGGGAGAACATTATTGCAAATCTTTGCACATGTGATAAGAGTCCATTATTGACAGTATATTTTCTTACAACTCAACCATAAAATCACAAATAGCCCATAAAATGGGAATGCATTTGAATAGGCATTTCTCCAGAGAATACACACAAAGGCCAATAGGCACAGGAAGAGAGGCAGCTCCACATCGTTAGTCACTAGGGAAATGCAAATCAAAGCCACAGAGTGACACTGCCTCACACATACTAGCTCGGTTGTAATGAAAATGTCAGATAATACGAGTATTGGTGAGGAAGTGGAGAAATTGGAACCTTCACTCATTCACTGCTGGGGTGGGGGTGGGGACTATAAAGCAGCAAAGCTGCTCACGCAGAAGAGCTGAGCAGTTTACCCCAAGCATTGTGCAAACGCGTTTAAAAAGCTGCTCTAAAATGGAGTTGGGAAGCCACGCAGGGTCAGCTTTCACGCGCACCACTTGTCTCAGCTCACGACCAGCCCTAAGAAGGAAGATGTCCTCATTCCTCAGCAACAGCTAACTGCTCACCACTGCAGCCTAAGAGAGGCCACCATGACCTTGAGCGCTCCCTGTTCTCCAGCCAATGTCTGCTAAAACCACCTTCATTGCTGTTTGATGTTGTTAAAGACACCCAAGTCGCAGAAGTTGTCGCTATGCCCTGTGAAACCACCTCTGACCTCTGATGCCGGGGGCCCTGAGGGGCTGTCTCAACTTGCCCAGTTTGGTGACACCCAGGTGAACACCTGCTCTGTGAAAGGTGAACTTGTGTGTTTCCTTAAGTGACCCAGAGAACAGCGGCTGCTTTTCCCAGCATAAAACAAAGTGATAACCCTGCAAGGGTTCCTATTTGAACATGAAACCTGAGTTTATGAGGCTCAAAGGAGATAGGATCCCTTAGCACACTGCCTGGAACCTAATAAGTGCTCAAGAAAGGCCCGTGCAGTTCGCGAACATAAGAACCACTCTTAAGTATCCTTCTTACAACAGCTGTAATAGACTGGTGCTGCGACTGTGGGGATCTGGCAGGTGAGGGAGGACCCCAAGCGTCAGACCGAGGGACTTCTCGGGGTGGGAAAGGGGGAGGTGAACCCCAGCCTGGCCGCCCCCAAACCCTGTGTGGTGCCAGCACATGGTGGGGACCAAGGCTGCAGTGGGTGACGGGGTCCTGACCACCAGGTACACCAGCTTCGTCCAGCCCTTCCTGGAGTCAGCCGAGCAGTTCTTCATGCAGGGTTACTGGGTGTGTTACTACATCTTTACCGACAGCCCCGCGGCTATTCCTCGGGTCCCGCTGGGCCCTGGCCGCCGCCTCAGCGTCCTCCATATCCAGAAGTACTCCTGCTGGGATGTCCTTTGCAGGCTTCAACGACATGCTGAGATGACCATCTGTGCACAGGAGCAATTTGTATGAGTCTCCAGCTGTTACTTCTGGTTTCTAGAAGTAGACAGATTCACAGGGGAGAGATCTGGGGTCTTACTGCCGAATCACCCCTCAGGAGGGGAGTCCAGGGCCCCCTCCCACGGCTGCGGGGGTGCTGTCCACCTCCCTCACCCACCTCGATGGCTCCTGGGTTCAGGGGTTTGGAGGAAATTGTCACAGGTTTGGCAGGTGGGAGGCGACATCTAATTCATTATCTTATATTTGTTTTCATAATGATGAGGGAGGGTGGGCCTTCATCCCTTTCAGTTATCTCCAAAGGGTGGGCCCCTCCCGACCCTGCGTGAGCCTGCTGAAGAGACAGGCTTCTCAGGACATTCCCATGTTTGTGGCCTGGCTCTGGGTTCCATCCATGCCCAGCCAGGAAGCTCCTCTCAGGCACGCTGGGGGCCCACGTCCTGGCCTGTAGGGTGCCTCCTCATTCTGGGTCTGCTCCAGGGGTCCAAGCATGTTGACACTGGCAAGAGCTTGGCACATTTGCTGCCCATGACCAACCAGGCAGATGCCAGGGACAGAAAAGAAGTGGCTTCTGCCTGTGGCTGGGCCAGGCCTTGGCTAGAGCAGGATAATGAGCTTTGATTAAAGAATGACCCCTGGATGCAGCTGGGTTCCAGGTGGATGGAACCTCAGGACTGGGAGCCCACTGTTCTCCTGAACACATAGGACAACAAGGAACAGAGAGACGGGGTCCAGCAGGGCAGGGCTGGTCCAATGCTCACCCAGCCATGGTGTTTTATAACCCCTTTATTGTGTGGCATGTATATGTTGTTCTGACAATTCCTCATGCGGAAGCCCCGTATCTCAAACACGGGGCAGAACTGCTCAGGGTGAATCTGGGATGAGGCCTGGACACCGCACCCCCATACACATGCCAGGCCTCCTCCCTCCAGGGCTCCAAGAGGCCCAGCATGGCAGGCACTTAAGGAACCCTCACCTCTTCACAGCAGGGGAAGCTGAATCTTGTACAAGGGCACCAAGGAAATTGAAGGCAGGACCCTGGGCAGGCAGGTTGAGGCTTTGGGGTGTGTCCTCAGGGACCTGCCTGCCTACCCCCAGATACCCAGGTTAGGAGGGCCAAGATCAACATCTGGGTCTAAACAGCTTTATGGAGATATCTGCTGGGTTCCCAGAAAACTCCGGCCCTTGCTCCAGACAGGCTTTTCCCAAAGGTAGGGAAGGGAGGGTCCGTGCACTGGGCCAAAGACCCTGCCTCTACCTTGCGGAGACCCCTCCACCCTGGCTCTACGGACTCTCCCCACCTCCCACTGGGGAACCCTGCTGCTCCTGGGCACCCCAGTGCTCTAAGACTCATTCAGCCATGGGGCCCCTCCTTCCTGGGAAATCTGGGGCATCTTCTGGGATCCCAGAGGAAGGTCACGGCAGGGGAGCAATTGTGGAGGGTCTGGGTGTGGCTGGAGCCTGAGGACAGGATGCAGAGGCCAAAGCTCCCAGCCCAGCTCCGCCACTAAGAAGGGGGACCCTAGCCATTCCTCTGGATGTTGCCTAGACACTTGTGTGAACTCAAACTGGGTGCCCCGCCCCCCGGGATTACCAGGGGGGAGACAGACCATGGAGAGTTCTGTCTGTCTCAGAGGATCAGAATCAACTTCATGGAGGAACCTAGGGATGGATTTCCTTATGTGCCCACTTTATGGATGGGTAATTGAGGGCCAGTGAGGGGAATGGACACAGGCGGGGACTGAGGGTGGCAATGGGCATGTCCCCTCCACCACCAGCCTCACCTGGGTTGGTCCCGCTGGTGGCTAGACAAGGAAGTGCCCATGACCTGCTGACCCTGCAGTAGGACCACATGCTGTGACCTGCATTTCTCATTAATCCCTGCTCCAGGAAGCTCCATGTGGGCAGGCACGGTGCTGGTTCACTGCTGTGCTCCCAAGCTTCCAGAACAGTACCTGGCACGAAATACGCACATACATTTTTATAATTTTGAATAAATAGATATATGAATCAATTAAGGTGCTGTTCTTTTATAGAAGAGAAACCATTTGTACATTTCTTCATTTGTTTGTTCATGCATGCACGCACCCGTGCAGCACCCCTGCCTGCTCCCTGCCCTGCACAGGCACCTAGGATACAACAGTGAACCCCGAGCACCATCCCTGCCTTCAGAGCTCACAGTCCCACAGGTGGGATGGCATCTCACCCATGAAGTAGGACTGTACTCCATGCCAGGCACTGTTCTGGAAGCTTTCATGGCCCTCCTCATCCTAGAAAGGTATTTAAGTAATATTTGACAAAAGTTTAAAAAAATTTATATATTATATATATAGAGAGAGACAGAGGCAGACACAAAGAGACAGACAGGCAAGGCCTGGAACACCATGCCCGTGCTTCCTGCACTGCCTGCCTCTTCTGTCCCCGTGCTGTGGTTGGTTGGTTTGGGGTTTGTTCTTTCTGATCCTCCTGCTGCTTCCCTTGAACTTCAGATCTCTGCCTAAGTTCCTAGTTCAGTCCACCTGTACTCCCCGATTCGGGAGATGTCCAAACGTCCACGCTGCTCTTTCTCCCATTTCCCTTTCCCACTCCAGTTTTTGATTGCTGTATTTCTGAGGCTGACCTTAGACTGGCCTTGTCCTTTCCTGGGGAAGATAGAATGTGGTCGGGCCAGAAGAGGACTGAGGCCTGTGGGCAGTACTGGGTCTGCCCCGTTTTGGTCACCTCTTTACTAACAGGGAGGAACCAGTGTCCAGCAGATACACCAGGAACTCGGCAAAAACAAGCTAAATGAGAAAAACCAATCAATCAGTCCCAGACTACCTGCCAGGGACCTAGCATTTGCAGCTGAAAATGGAAGCACAGCCTTCCAGGCAGCACTCCCCACGGGCTTGGGTCAGTCTCCTGCAGACTCAGGAAATAAGCCCTGCTGTAAAGGACCCTGTGGTCCTCGAGGGAAACCCCCAAAGGACCTGGGAGGCTGTGCTCAGGTGCCAGGAAGATGTGGGTTGCAAGTTCAAGGTCCATCATTGTGACTTTAAGCAAACCTGTAATGTCTCTGAGCCTTGTTTTCTCTTCCATGCTGTTTCTCCTTATTTCTACTCTTTTTTTTACCATCAAGGAGCTCCTTTTTGTCCCTCAGCATGCTCCCTCTCTCACCAAGTCTGGGCAGATGCCTCTGCCTCCAAGTTCTCCACTCTTGAGCTTGGCCCACCATGGGGAAATGTTAAAGGGTCCCCCCTGGGGCTCCTTCACTCCCTGGGATGAGCAAGCGTAAATACTACCTTGACAGGCCATGAAAGCAAAGTGCGGCCAACTCCTTTTATCGGGGAGGAAACAGGCTCCGGAGGTTTGGGGAGCCTTCGCAGTCCCCCGGGCCCAGCGTGCCAGCTAGCAAACCCCAAGGAAAGGAGGAAGGATCCGAAACCGGTAAGTGAGGCGTCCAGCTAGTTTTCCTTCCTGTGGTTGCTTAGACGCTTTTCTAAAGACACTGTAGTTCTTCGCCCAAATCGCTTCTCAAGCCCAGACCCTCACCCACAGTTCCCGAAACCGGCCAGCTGCGGGGCGCGGGGCGGGGGCGGAGCCGCGAGGAGGGGCGGGGCGAAGGCTGGTGGGCGGGGCGGGGCGCTCGGCTGTTTCCTGCTTGCTGCCCCCGCCCTGCCCCCGCCGGGCTGCGGATCACGTCAGGGCCAGGCCTGCGCGCTGTGGCCACCACCCGGCGAGTCGCGTTCCTGGTTTCCCGGCTGGCTGCGTCCCTCTGTCCGCTCTCACGCGGGTGTGGCAGCAAAGGGTGAGCCTGCTGTCCGCAGGGGCAGTCCCGCGCCCTCCGCCCCACCTTGTCCCCGCCCCGAGCCCGGAGCCCGCAGTGTTGGGCGGAGGTGGAGGTGCGCGTCTGGGCCCCAGGCTTCTGGGTGCGGACCCCTGTGGCCGAGGAGGGCCCTGAGGCCGGCGGACGCTGGAGGAGAGTGACCCAGGGTCACCGAGCCAGTGAGAGCCGAGCGCGCCCCCCGAGAGCCCATGCTGCCACACGTCCCCCAGCCCTGCGGGAGATTCACGGCCGCCCTCTCTGCGCAGCCCCTGCCCACGCCTGGGGCATCCCCGCCCGCCGGCCCGGAACCTGACTTATGGAGCCCGCGCTGTGGACCCCGGGAGTCCTTCAGGCCCCGCCCAAGCGCCCCTCCCTATCGCTGCTGGCGGGGGCCCTTTGCTCTCCACGGCGAGAGGAGGTAGGGAGGGAAGCCTCTGAGGGGCCCCGTCCGAGCGCGTCTTCCAAAGCACCCCTGCAGGCTCCGTCTGCCACTGAGCCACTGCCCTCCCTTCACCTCCGGGGCAGCCAGAGCTGGGCCTCAAGTCCAGCAGGACCCTGGAATACATCTGGGATCCACAGTCGCCTGCTGGAGCTGCCCAGGGGAGGGCACGGCAGCAAGGATGGGGCCACTATCCTCTGGTAAGGAGCATTCCTTTGCAGGTGTTCCTTGGACCCCGGAGACACAGGCTCAGGGCGTGAGGGCCCTGAGAGGTGAGCTGGTTCAACAGGGCACGCCCAGTCCCTGCAGGTGTCCGGCGCAGAGGCTGCACCCAGTGATGCGCTGCAGGAGACTGGCCCTGGCCCTGGCCCTGGGGCTCTGCCTGCTGTTGGGCATCGCCCTCTGTTGTCTGCGGTGAGCAGCCCCACCGTTACCTCCCTTCATCCCAGACTCCTTCCTCTCTGGCATCTCAACCCCCAAACCTTGACCCCTTCAAAAATCTCCAGGTCCCACCCACCTCTCCTGCACACCTGACCCCAACCCCAACCCCAGCAGGACCGCACTAGTTTGGCTTCTGCATTTGCCTCATGCTGGCTTCCTGGCCTTTGCAGTTGATCTTTCCTCTGCCTTGACTATTCTTCTGGCCACTTGATGAGGAACTCCTGTCTAGGCTACAAAATAACACCCTGCGTATCTTATGCAAAGCTCCCTGGGCTGTGTGTGGGTCCTGGTGTCAAGGACATTCCTGCCCCAGGAATGAATGACTATGGGTGAACAATGACTGCACTGTGGAAGACCAGGAGGCTTTGTCCTCTGAGGTCATAGACCCAAGGAGTGATGGGGGACTCCCAGATGCACCACTGTGGGCTTTCCCTGCCCCCGCCGTGCACCAAATTGGTTTTCAGTCTTGGGGCTTGAGTGGAATCAGCAGGTGTTTTTCCTTCCCAGGGTGTATGTCGAGAACTGGCTGCCAGTCTCCTATGTCCCCTATTATCTCCCCTGCCCAGAGATTTTGTAAGTATGGGGCCAGGAGTATTGGGGGTCGTATGGGCTGCCCAGAGTTGGGGAGATGGGAGAGTTTTTTTATAAGGTTATTTTGCAGATTCCTAGATCCTAAGCTCATTATTCGGGTCAGTGTGATAAGGTTTGGGTAATTGATAGGCTACCACAAATGTGGAGGAAAATTCCTGTTTCAGCACTTGGGTGTCCTTGTAGCTCCCGCTTTGTGGATTGACCTTGAGCATGTTGCATAGCTCTGAGCCTCACTTGCTGCAACTGTAAAATGGGATGGTAGAGGCACCCCTCCAGGGCCACCTGGAGCATGAAGTGATGTGATACCTATAAATATCCTGGTGTAGCTCCTGGCATGGAGGAAGTGCTCCCTAAATAGTGCTTTTTAGGATTTGCCCTTCTTGCTCAATTTTGTGTTCTCTGTGGATTCAAGGAATAAATTAAGGTGACCAGTGTTCCCCACATAATGAATGACTTTGTGACAGTTAAGAGTGAGAAAGTGGGTTGGGCAGTCTCAAGACGGCATCTGGCCCCAGGATCTTTGGACGTTCATGATCACTAAAGGAAAGTTTAAAATCTGGATCATAGATTACTAATTAACCACGAGGCGTGTCTTACTACTATAGACACAGAACATAGTAAATTAGGAAACTGGGACGCAGAAAAGACAAAAGGAAAAAAGCCCTCCTGATTCCTACTGGTCTGTTACACTCTGATTCCAAAGTTCATTGTCAGCTTGGTTGCTGTGCTTTCTAATTAAACATCTATGTACTTCCTTGGTTCTGAAAGCAGAAAGAATGCTTGCTATTAAAAATACTTCTGATCATACTGTATTAGTGATTTTTGTCCTGTTTCTGAATTGGTTTTATTTTTTAGCATGTGTTCATACTCTTCACGGTCACGATCATTTTAATCCACCCAGAGGCTGGGTCAGAATTCTTAAGCCCTCCCCCCTTTTCCAGCAACAACTGTGTGGCATTTAGACTGTTCCCAATTTCTCGGTGTTTTAAATTAGTTTGTAATGAGCGGCTTTGGCTATAAAGCTTTTCCCATCTTCAAGATCCCTTCGTTCTATAGGCCCCCTTCCAGAGCCAGAGGACAGGTTCTTGATCTGTTTCCTCAAGTTACTTTCCAGAAGGGCCGGGGCACATACGCACTCAAAGCCCCACATCCGCTGCTGCCTCTCCGGCAGCTGCAGGGAACCTGGGCCAGTGCCGGAAGTGTCAGGCGTTAGGAACCACAGAAGCCAAGCCACCTTGCTGATTGGGAGAAGGGAAACGCTACCTCTGTGGTGTAAATTCAATTTCTTGGGCCCTTCCCGAGGCCGTCATTTCCCCCACACCTTCCCATTTATTGAATTTCCTCTTCCGTGACACATGTCCTCTGCCACCTTCTCTCTGGCCCATTTGTGGGTTCTCCATCATCACCCTTGGCCAGAGGTATTTAGTGTATATATATATATATTTTTTTTTCTTTCCAGTTTGTCTTTTGGCTCTGCTGAGTTATTTTGTAACAGATTAAAGATGCAGATTTTTGGGTTTTTTTTGTAAAGGGTGACATCTTCCCCTCCTTTCATTTGGATTTCTTCTTTTAGTTTTATTACTTTCAGAGGTTTGGGAATAAAAAGTTCCTTTTTTTTGGTCAAGGCTCATCTGCGGCTTCTGTTCTGACTTAAGGCCTTTCACTCTCGAATGCAGTGAGCTAGCTCTTTAGCATGGAGTGTGTCTGGGCTTGTGGGGAGAGGGGTGGAGCAAGTGCCAGGGAAGTGTGGGACGCTGGGCCCGCTGGGGGTGGGAGGGCTCTTCCCGCTTCTCACTTCTCATTTCTTGCTGTCCTCTCAGAGGCCACCCCTTTCTGAGCAGGGACCAGACATGTGCTTGTTTGTATGAAACTAGGGCAGAGGGCCAGTTTGACAGGTAGACTTCAAAAAACTGTTGATTCAAGGGTATGGACTAATCACAGGACAAATATAATAGGATCCCACTTCTGTGAGATCACCTGAATAGTGAAGTTCACCGAGACAGAAGTTCCCAGGTCACCAGGGGCTGGGGGAGGTGGGGAGTGGGGAGTGAGTGTTTAAATGGGGACAGAGTTGCAGTTCGTGAAGATGAAAAAGTTCCAGAGATGAGTGGCGGCGAATGGACTTACTGCCCCTGAACTGTACACTTAAAAATGGTCCAAATGGTAAATGTTTGTTACATGTATCTTACCACATTTTTTAAAAAGCATACCCTAAAAAAGGTAGGAAAACTCCTGGAGGTTTAAGCCAGCCCATTGAATATGCCATATTCAAAATTCACAAGTGGTGACAGGCACTGCATCCTCAGATGGTGTGAGCCATACGGCTGACCTCAGGGCTCTTAGGGAGCTGGCTCTGACCCCTCCTTGGGCAGGCCATTCCCTTCTTTGGGCCTCTGACCCTAATCGCCCCCCAACCCATGACTCGATTGTTCCCATTTTAAGGGTGAAGGCACTAAAGCCCCAAGGAGTCAAATGTCTGGCCCACGTCCTTCCCACCAGAGGGTAGCAGAGCCAGAGGCCTTTTGTAACCTGAGACCTACGACGTCCGACCCTGCAGCCCGCCACCTCCTCCCTCAGCAGTCCCCCTGCTTACCCCACGCAGGTGGGCTGACCATACAGTCTGCGAGTTCGCTCTGCGCTAGGCGTGCGGAGAGCCCTCATTCACATTCCCCATTTAATTCTCAGGGCAGTGCTAAGGCTAAGGGTGGTTAATTTCTTCATTTTACAGATGAGGAAAAGTGGGTATATCACGAAACACACAGAACCAGGAAGAGGGAAGGAGACAGACAGATCGATTGAATAAAAGGAATAGGTTTATAAGATTGTGGGGGTGGCCGAGCCAGTTTGAAATCCACAGAACAGGCCATCAGGGAGAGCAGGCTGGACCTCTTGGGCAGGAGCTGGCACTGCAGTCCGCCCACAGAATTTCTCCAGAGAAGCCTCAGTTCTGATCGGAAGGCCTTTCAACTGATTGTATCAGGCCCACCCAGATTATCCAGGTTAATCTTTACACAAGGTCAGCTGGTGTAGACGTGAATCATATCTACAAAACAGCTTTACAACGACACCTTGATTGGTGTTTGCGTGTGTGGGTACCACAGCTGACCATCACTGTGTGCTCAGGTTGAGTAACTCGCCCGTGGTCTCCAAGCTAGAAAGTGGCAGAACTGGGCTTACTGGGCCTTTTTGCAGCTTCTGAAACCTACCCAGTGTGGGGCTCCTAAGAGCGACATGTTTGAAAGAGCATCAGCTTTGGAGACAGATGGCACTGGGTTCAAATGACCACCCTGTCACGC